TTGTGCTGGTGAAACTGGTGACTATCTAAAATCTGATTGGCTATTGCATTTAATAGCCAATCAGATTTTAGATAGTCGCCAGTTTCACCAGCACAATTCAGTTGGTTTCACCAGCAACTCTAGTATGTATGTACGTACGTACGTACGTATAGATTCTACGTATAAGTATACATTATTCGGTAAAATTTTTTGAATAACAGAAATTTGCCGAATAATGGTGTTATCCGACAATTTATGATCATGATTGGTAGGGAGTCGACAGCTGAGTTTTAATTCGAATAAACATGAATATTTCTTAACACATGAAAAAAATAACAGACAAAAATAAATTCATGATCATAAAAGATATCTAATTCTGTAATTATGAGGAACTGTACATCTGTTTAGATGGGTTAGTCATGGCAAAAAAATGTCGAGAATACGTAATCGGCGATCTTTCTGGCCCCATTGACGCAGCCCGATAAATCATATGCTACACGGAAATTATATTAATACTGTAACAATAAATATACGATAACGATTAATTTATGATTTATCGGGCTACGTTAATGAGGCCGGAAGGATCGCGATTACGTATTCTCGACATTTTTTTGCCATGACTAACCCATCTACATCAGTTTCGTGTAACATCACGTATAACAAATAAACAGATGATTTATTTGATTTTATTGGTCAAAAAAGATTGATGTACGTGATGTTACACGAACTGACGTATGCAGACAATTCTTCAAATCGATCTGATCATTTACGTGCAAATCGACTAGCTCATATATAATAATAATATATACAGTAAGATAACTGCGCAACGTTATGCAAAACTAGGAACTGGTGTATTGTGTTTAATAAATGTAATGGTTGCTGCTAGTGATGGGTGACGAAATTGACGAAATTAATATTTCGTCAATTTCGTCACTATGAAAATAATTTCGTCAATTTCGTCATTGCAAAAATAATTTCGTCACTCATCTATAGTTGCTGCACTATTAGAATGTGCGATGTATGGTTGAATATTCAATAAAGCCAGGTATTACGTTATGCTTGTAACGTTAATTATCCAGATTAATATGACAATTTACTTAAAATATGAAGTAGGGAAAACAAATTGCTGCTTTATTTCATAAAAACGTATTAAAGTATAAAAGAGATTAAAAGATAATGCTTATTAACATTAAAAATATTAAAAGATAATGTTTACTAACATTAAAACATTATAAGTTAATGATTTAAATGGACTACTATCATTATTTTTTATGATATTAATAATTATGAATGCGATAAAATTATCTGTCTAGGTGTTTAAACATAAAAAAAAAAAAAGTCACAAACACAGCAAAAAAATAATTTTATACCCATTTCATAATCACACATTTAATATTAATTATTCTTGAAATCTTTTCTTATGAATTAATGATGGAATCTATCACCAACATCTTTTTCAGGTGGCTTGAAATCACGACGATCAAACTCGCGAGTGAAAATGTTTTTCTTAAATGTGTCCTCAGATTTATCGAGGTCACGACGAGCACTGGTACCTCCAAAAGTAAATACCATTGTCATATAATAGTTTATATTGTTTGGATTTTTGACAGCTACGCAATAACGATCTCTTGGAAGTTTGGAATTACGATATCCTACATAACGACAAACTGTAGTGCTAGATCCACAATAGTCGACAGTACCATTAGAAGAATAAGGGAAAAGTACATATTCAAATCCATGGTAATCAGTATTGGAAGTTTCATTCCCAGCAAAGCTAGTACCTTGAGCAGGTGAGGTAAGGGTCCCGCTAAGCGAATACACCAAGGAGAAATCTAAAGATGTTACATAAATAAATCGATAAATAATATATTATTTGATTCTAGACTCGTCAATCCATGACTTAAATAAATTTTGAATTATGAATTGTCAGAGTCCAATTACTACTTGATTCGATATTTCACTTACCTATATATGTAATCGACTTTTCAGTGCATGCACCCCAAATACCATTATGTTTGGGAGCCAAAACCATAATTGTCGTCATGTGGTCGCTAATAGCAGAGTAGATCTATAATTATTTTAAAATGGAATCAACTTATTATTTATTCTATTTTGTTTTAATAGGATTATTTTTCGGACCGTCTACGGACACGTACCAATTCACGTTATTGTGCACGTACCTATTATAAATCTAAAACCTATCACGTGCTAATATACTAACCCTAAAGTTCGGTAC